CAATATCTGTCTTCCGCTTCAGCAGTTTTCCAGATGAGATTCGTCTGTCTTTCTATCGTCTATAATGCTAATTTTCAGAGGTTTTAGATGTTGCATGTGAAACTTGGTGTTGTTCTGTAATGGGGTAGCTAGCTATATGCCTATATGGTGTAACTGAGGGTTGAAGCTATATGATTTGTACTCTGATGTGTTTTAATTATGAAATCTTGGTTCCGTAATACAAAAATTAAATATATTGTGTGTTTAATATGAAATGTCAATTTGATTACTAAATAGATTAAAAATAATAGGTTAATTAGCCTGTTTATTGGGTTTTTCTATTGCAAATGGTTATTGAGACAATACCATGGGTAATGACCTCAGACAACCCACACAGTTTTTAGGAAGTAAACATGTTGGATCAATGAACAATCACACACTACTTGCTCTGAACAAGTGTTTGCATTAGGCTATCTTACACAAATGTTTTCCACATAAATTGTGTGTGATGGATAGCCTATGCCACACAGTTTCTTCTAGGCACCGTACGTGATGCATTCAATAACACAAACAATAAAATTATTAATATCGTCTGCAATGGCAACACTATCACACACGATGTGATGGGCAAAATTGTGTGTGATGTACGTACAAACAAAAACAATTGTGTGGGATTCACTATGTGGGATGTATACATGAATGGAGCATTTGTCTTAGATTCATTGTGTGGGATGTACATACGAACGGAAACAATTGGGCTTGTATAATTGTCTGTGATGGCCGTCTGGTCGCACACGAGCTCTCTTTGCCCCGTGTGTTTGACCGGCGGACCTATCGCCGATGGTTTCTGGGTCGTGTGGGAAGGACCCCCCCATCACACGCAGAGGCAAGGCGACGGTTTAAAACTCGATCGTGGAAAAGGGACAAAAAAATTGTTTGTATAACAGTCGCCTGCACTAGTATAGTAAGCTCCGCCCATGGGATTTAGCCTTCAGCAGCCAAGTACCAGCTGACAATTGGCGAAACTTTTGCACGCCAAATTGACAATTCAAGGCATATCCATTGTTCAGTTGTGAAGAAGCTAATTCTTTTTTTATAAGTGGATGTTCAACTTAACAGTCTCCGCTAGAAATTCTGATATATCAGAACATTGTTTGGAACTAAACCTGGGCATGGGCAACCCGGCCCAAGAAGCCCGGCCCGAAGCCCGTCGTCCAGGCTGGACTCGGGCCTCAATTTCCTGCCGATGGCCTAGCCCAAAGCCCGGGAAAATCCCGATGAAACATATTTATTGATGTATTTTATGAAAAAATAGGTATAGTGTAGTATTATATAGCCCTGAAATTAGGTATTTCATTATTTTTAATAGGTAAAGTAGCCATTTTTTCGGGCTGCGGGCCGTGCCGGGCCCGGGCTTGGGATTTTGTTCGTCGGGCTTTGTGAAGCCCGACCCGGAGAATGCCCAGGTCAATTTGGAACAAAGGACAACCTAATGTGCCTCGAGATTTAGTGGGGGATTGTTGAATCATAGAGGGGCTTCAGACCCATATGAACAATGATTCATGTTAATCTCTAAGGCCCATGTAGGTATATGACAGGTGGTGGAAAGTTTAGTACCACCTCACAAGTTGAGGAGAGTTGAGGCCCCTTTATAAGGGTTGCTCTACCACATGACATTGGGAACTTGAGAAGAGGAGTGGCACAAGCGCGCTCCTCCTCCTTCACCACCCGCCTCGCATGCCCCGCCCACTTGCACATCATGTTTCGTGAATGAGCCGAGCCGAGCTCAGACCTATACTTGCGCTTTATTTTGCCATTGTTCAAGAATTCATCTGATTAATCAGTTAATGGGCCAGTTAATCGCTACTCATAGGATGGCCGAATCAAATAGCACTTATTCATCGTGTTAACTTGTGAGGTCGATTAATTGTCCTGTCAGATCGATTAATCCATTGTTAGGCCGATTAATCGTTGCTGGCCCATTAACTTGTGGGCAAACAAAGCCCAAAATTTTGCTCTATAACCCTTCTCAACGTCCTCTGCCCCTCTCGCTCATCAGTAGCTAGGGTTCGAACAAACAGTAGCATATTTTAGTATATTACATAACTAAGAACATGAGAGTATGGTATAATACATAAAAAACTAGATATATGTTGGCAAGTTCCTATTTAATATACCGATTAATCCAGTTAATTGGTCGATCCACCGACTAATCGTTACTCCCAAGCCGACCGAGCATTTACCAGGTACCGATTTCCTGAGGAATGATTTTTGCCGGTCATGAAAATTAACCTCGGATTAATTAGCGAGTCACTAACGGATGTGTCCGAGATGTTGGAACATTGGTCATTGGCCGACTTGGTCGTGGGCCTAAGCCCAGGCCCATGACTCCCTACCCGGCGGCATATATGTTGGAGACGTTGCCCAGTGCAGCCAACACATGCAACTCACTCCCTCGCACGACTGCTCTAGCAATCCCCTCCCATCGACCATGTGCACGGACGGACGGGGGAGCAGACCTCCGGAACCCCGTCCTTCGAGATCCTGCACCAGGAGAACGGCGATAAGGTTTTTGGGAGTGTCTCAGCGCGGCTGCTCCCGATCCATCCTTGTCTTCGTCCTCTGCTTCGATTACTTCCCATTCACTATCGCCATGGCCGACGACAACGCCAAGAAGAAGGCCATGGGCAAAGCTGAGGCTACTGTTGCCGTTGTGGCCCTTGATTGGCCTACCGGAGGCTACGATTTGTTCATCCCCTACTTGCTCGTTCATGTCCTAGTCGTATATGCTCTGTTCATAGATGTTTCGGTTCTATGTTATATACGTGCTCGCATATTTAGGTATCGGTATGAGTTACATACTATGAATGTCATGTTTACTCTTGGATTAGATTAATTGAAAAAGTGCTAATATATCTAGCACGTGAACCTATTAGGGTCTTGAGTCATGGTTATTGGGTCAGGGCCTGTGGTATTTTTTTCCTCACATTGCAACACACGGGTTCTTTTGCTAATGCCATGTTAAGATAAAGGATATGAATCTATTGGGGTCTTCAATCATGATTGTTGCAACGCACGGGCTCTTTGCTAATGTATACCATAAGCTCCATATTCACACGTAAGTACATGGAATAAATGCATTTTTTAAGAAGCCAATTTTATTTATTCTTTTTAGGGCATCACGCCAGATTGTATTATTCAATAGACAAGTTTGCACGGATAATGTTGGAATCATGGGCCTGGCCCAACCAAGTATGTCTACCCTGTTCTAAAGAGAGAGAGAGAGAATCTAGCTAGATTATGTGCTTCCAAATTACAAGATCTACTTTTCAAAAAGAAAACTACAGGAAGAAAACTCTTTCATCCAGTCCTGGATTTCCTTGATTACCACTCCATGCACCGCGTCCAAACCTTCATGAATGTCATTGATAACTCCTTCGCAATCAGAGGCGACAAATAAAGTTTCAATTCCCAGATCAGCTGAGAGCGCCAAGGCTTTCCCATCAGTCAATGGTTTCTAGTGTTGTTGGATCGCTCAGACCCAGACAAGTAAACGTTCAATGCCAACTTTATTTATTCAATAATCAAAATCGAAAGGTTTAAAGTCTAGTGGGCCTTGAAAACCACACATGCTTGCAGCCCCGCTGAGCAGTGGGGTTTGATTCTACTGCTCCCATCAGAGAGAAAGATTTGTAAAGTTCGAGAAAAGATCAGGCATGAACTTGCAATTCTCACGGCAGCAATACCACACTAGCACCCCCGCAAAATAAATTCCTGAAAGTGTCAAAAACGCTATTATATTATGGGAAGAAAGGAGTACCGTATTAGCAACTCTATGAAGAATTTTTTTTCCATAGTAACGATTTTTTTTTCCTTTCTCTATGGCCAGCTAAAATGGTCAACTTTTAGTCATCATTTGAGATCTGCCAGTCGTACGTACTACTAGCATGTTACTTTCACATTTTCTTTGTTTCTCTGCATAGCGACATTCTGGTCAATTCAAGGCTGCCAGCTACTCGCTAGGGACATGCACTCATATAGGTTTGTCGAGCATAGGACGAAGAGAAAACAAGTCTGTAGGACAAAACATCGAGTCCTGAAATCGCTCGGAAGTCGTAACAAACTATGACCTGTATTTGTAATTTTGGAGGTATCCAACCGGGTGTCTCGTCCGGGTGGCAAAGAAACCAAGATGGGAACTCGCGTCACATGGATAAGTGCTAACAATCGGCGAGCACGAGCTGAAGACTTTTATAAGCAAATCTAGCACCTACTCTCAGAAATATTTGAGCAAAGTGCCACTTCTATTTGAGCAGAGTGCTACTACAAATAAAATCCATATACATGTAATATGTGACCACTATAGCGTGATCTAGCTCTGCGTAACAAGAAAAGGAGAAGATAAACCCAAGTCATAAGTATTCTTCTAATCCCAGCTCAAATGGTCTTGTTATGAACAGCAAAATACAAACATTGCTTCATGATGAAATCACATTCGTGGAGGCCTAAGTAAAAATAACAAAATCAACACACCAAAATACTGTAGAGAAGTCTTTCGGAGAATTGAATTTGTTTCTTTCACCTGGAGCATTACGAATGTTTTTTCTTCATAAAATTTTGCACATAACAGAAAATTGAACAATGTTTATCGTTCACAATGGCACAATTGAGCTTGAGTGTGGAAACTCCATCTCCCATTAAGTAGCTTGCTTGAAATATCACGGCAGTGCGAACAAAAACCTAAGAAGTAATCTTTTCCGTGTAAAACGAGTAGCAATTCTAGAGATGATCAGATGCTGTTTAAAAAGTAGAAAGAGACCAGCTGCACACACAATTTAAGGTTTGCATATGATATTATGTACTTAGAAAGCATTTCCAGGATACAAGAAATTGAAAGTCAGCAACATCGCACTAATGGCAAGTAGTAGTGATATTCAGCAGCAAGATATAAGAACGACACCAAACTGTACTGCTTCCGTCACTGACTCTTCTGTCTTTCAACAGCAAGACCAATCTAACATCTATTGTTGTTCCTCAAACTCATGGCCATGATCCAAAAGATAGTTGGCAGCCAGTTCTTCATCCCTGTTGCATGCAAAGAAGACCTCCAACACAAGCTCACGGTTGAACCCCATCCCCTCGAGCTGTCAAATATACAAATATAATTAAATATTAAAGCTCTCCTAAGTAGTAATGCAACAAAGAAACTGATACTATCCATTGATAATGGATAGTCAAACTGTCAAGAGTGACACTAGGCAAGGTTTTACAAAGAAAGCAAATCATCAAAATGTATAGTACCCGCTGGATGGCCTCCCGTTCTTCTGGAGTAACTTGAACTGCCTGTGGCATTTGAGCTGCTAGCGCGCCTAGTATATTCCTGGTTGCACATAGTGGAGAAAACACCAATGTAAATGCTGTGTGTATGCCTAACTGCACATAGTTGTATAATGTTTATTAATTCTTACCCGCCAGCACCACTCTCAGGTGTTTCATTTACCAGGCGGAGAAACTCAGCCTGATTTTCCTGAATCAACCGCAGGATCTGGGGATTTTGTTTCCCCAGCTCTTGAAGCATTGGCTGTGAATACATAGGATGATACATCAGCTGATTTTCAAGTACATAAAAATGATAATCTATGAAGTACTCCTCTGTAAACTTCTATAAGACGTTTTAGGTCACTAAAAGTAGTGATCTAAAACATCTTATAGAAGTTTGCATAGGGTACTAAATAAAAAGGTTAATTCGTACCTGCAGGATTTGGGGATTAGCCTGGACCAATGCAAGCAGTGCTTGGAACTGACAGGAAAAAGTGCATCACTGTTAGAACAATGCAACACTTCAATGACCAACCAGTAAAAGGTTGTACTGCTAGTACCTGTGGAAGCTGTCGCAATGCATCAAGGGCGCCAGCACCGGCACCCACACCAGCACCAGCATTTGCCCCGCCACTTGGAATACCCTGTTAAGATAGTTTGTATCAAAACTAGCCAAAGGAGTGATCATCATCGCAAAAAAGTTTGTTGTCGGAATAAGAATGTACAACAGATAGGTGGCTGTAGATGCAGTACACAAGAAAGTTGCATAATGCTTTGTCAAGGAGACTGCACACCAGGAGACACCACAGAACAGACAGTTGTAAGAGCATATCTAACAATAGTCTATGCTATGATTTTCCCTCCACATAGGGACCAACTTTTAGCTTCAGAGACTGACATGCAATTTCCCTTTTTCTTTAGGGGCAGGGTGTGGTCTCATTGACACCTGTATATATTTAAAAAAAAATTAAAGCAGTAGGAGCCTCTCTTGCTGTGAAGTTCCTATGATTCCTAATCATGCTTCTGATAATGCCCTATGGCACTGAGCATGTAAAAAAATGAAGTTGCGGCAGTGTATGAATGTAAAGGTGTAAACTAGTTTAACTGGGTCAGCAACTACTGACTTTGTAAAGCTTGGTCCATCCAATTCCACACAAAAATATACAAAAACTATAATGGTTGAAGGGGTATATCTGGAGTACATACCTGCGGGAAAAGGTTTAGAGGATTTGCATTAGGCCCTGCAGAGACGCCACCAGATGGCTGCACTGGTGCTAGAGGTGCAGCCTGAGCCTGAGGAGCCTGCAGGTTTGGTGCCTGTTGAGCAGGAGCAGGTGCTCGAGCCACAGGTGGGGCATCTACAGATTCAGGTATTCCCTAACAGTCAAACCAAAATGAAACAGTAAGAATAACATGAATTTAGAATGAAACACAAATTCAGTTCCCTCCAGATTTTGTACAAAAATAATTGAGCACATAATGAAAGGCAGCACATGGAAATAAAAACTTCAAAAGAAAAAGGAAAAAAATAACAAGCATGGAACTTACAGAATACAGATAGTCAATAGCCCTCTCAGGGTTGTTATATGCAGCACGTAAAGCACGGACAACCATATCACGTTCCCAGGTGCCACCGCCCATGTCAAGAATTTGTTGGACCGTTTGTTCTAGACTGCCGCCAGAGACAAGGTTTGATGCAGCCTGACTGTATACATCAGCATCGCCTCTATACAGCACAAGCAGAATAGAGAAATGTTAATTTTATAGTCAAACAGTGAAAGAGAATGAGGAAGATTCTTTCTGGCTCAAGATTCATTAGAACCAAATCAGTAGCCAGATTACATAATATACAGAAGCAGAAGTTGCACTAAACATGTGCTGATGCCAAATACACACAAACACATAGAATGAACTGCCAGTTTTTGAAGTCCACACATTCAGAAAATAAAGCAAAAAATATAACCTATCAAAATCAATGTATGAACCTATGCATTTCCAAGGTTCCATTCATCTTTCTTTAACTTTTGTCCAGTATACCCAGTGTTACATCATAAGTAAGATTTTCTATCACTTTAGCAGTCTAACTTGCAGAGAAGTACCACAGAAGAAAATAATTAAAAGGTAATAAACGCTAATACCAAAAGAATTCAGGAAATAGGTTACATGACTTGTCAGCTGCTAGGTAGGTCAATGCCACAATAATTCAACCATGTTTATATTTATATCATTATAAAAGCAACAAGAAACTCGTTTCTTCTCAGGCATTCAAGAATAATTCATGGCTCCAGTTCAAAAAGAAAAAGGAAGAAAAGTTCAGAACATGGCTCATCAATGATATAAACTGTGCATGCTGTCTAACAGAAACACGAATGGAAACATGTCGGGTCACCAATGTGCAAAAATAGATAATACTCCCTCTGTACCGAAATACTTGTCGTTGGGGAAAACCAGTACAAGTTCCCCCAGCGACAAGTATTGTGGTACAGAGGGAGTAGTTTACAGAAAGAACCCACATGACAAGCGACCATATGACAAGGCAAGTAAGGAATTTGTAGCTAAAAATAACAAGGACAAAGCTCTAGATTATGTTTAACAAACAGACTAAATACACTAATCAGTATCAATATACTCCCGCCATCCCATAATATAAGACATTAGCATATTGGATGTAATAACGTCTTACATTAAGGGACGGAGGGAGTAGCTTCTAATAGAATGAAAAATTAAGGCTCAGAAATGGGCTCACGATGCAGTTACTGCAGGAGCTGGAGTATCAGAAACAGCTGAAGGCTGTGCACTGGGAGGCGCCCTACAAATGAGAAGAAATAAATTAGATAAATAGAAGGTTCCAACACAAAAGTTGGGAGGCATTGATAACTCACGGTTCAGATGCAGCAACAGGTGCCTGTGAAGGTGGTGATCTTGCAGCTGAGGCAACAGGGGCAGGTGGAGTAGCAGGTTGAGACTAGCGCAATGTGACGAATTAAATAATTCCAGTTAGATGTTGATAAATTGAGGGTCACACAGAAACAAAATACAGGGTAATATTACACAACATAATTATATGATGAACTACTATTTCTGTTTAGCTAAAGTGAACTGCCTTCGCAGAAGGCAAGATATTTATGATCACAGATGTCCCACCTTATTATCTAGTAACACACATTTCTCATGTTCACTAATCTAACTTTATTCAATTTGAAGAGTCCACATATAACCCTAACAAAAAAGAGTGATATGACATGGCAGAACATTGTTGGTGCTGATTGAAGATAAAAGGTGGGAATGAAGATGCATATAAAATACAAAAAGAAAAAAGGGAAACCAGGGTGGGATCATATTTAGCTTTTTTGCACAGCAGGACGTAAGAACATAGAATAAAATGTTTGTTAAAATACAATAATAGGCAGGTCTGATAAAAACGTATGAACCCAAAATACCTGACTAGCAGGTGCCTTTGAAGCAGTAGAAGCACCACTAGATGATGACGCCTTAGGCTACAAGACAAATGCATACCAGATAAGTTACTGATATCCAGATCAGAAGATAACAGCCATTTAAATCTTCAAAACACACTTCTGGCACCAACTTTCAACGATTTAAGAAGTGCATAACAAAAGAACATTAGAAGTACAGAATGGAGACATTGCTGACAAAATACAAATATGGAAACAACATGAATGAAATCGCTAAGATCAATATTTATTGCTTCATCCAATTAGTGGGCTAAAAAACTAGAAACGAAACAAAATACCATGGTCAAATTAAACACGTAGGGGCAATTTAGAATGCGTAACAGAGCATCATCGCATGTCTATGATTATATCACCAACTTCTAATGATTTGATTGAGAAGCGCTTAACAAAAGAACATTAGGAGTGATTGATAAAAGAACATTGAAAGTGCAGAATGGAGACATTACTGAGAGAACATACAAATGTGGAATCCACATGAATGAAACCACTAAGACCAATATATATTGCTTCATCCAATTAGCGGGCTATAAACTCGAAACACATCAAAATATTAAATACCATGGCTGAATTAAACACGCAAGTGCATTTCAGATGTGTAACAGAGCACATCATCGTATGTCTATGATTACAGCTCAACGTTGGGTGTTGGCTAAACAAAAGGAGGGAAATGGTGGGATCCATATTGGTTTGAGCAGGCATCTCATTTTGATTATCAGACAAACATGAATACTTCGACAAAAAACTTGATGTCTAATAAGGTCCGTCAAATTTCAAAGGATTACAGATCAAGGTAATGAAATATATACTCATTAATGCCATAAGTATTCATTAGATCTTGACTAAAATAAGCTACATTGTCAAGCTTAGTTCCCTACAACATACAAATATGGCCTAATTTCTATTCAAACAACTCGAGGGTCTGGCAAAAATTCAACAGTTGGAGAACTGACAATGCAAACTAACGGGACAAGAAGCATCAAATACCTTAGACAGCATTATAACAAGGAAGCTGTTCTCTGCAACCTTGTTAGCTTCCAGAGTGGTATCATCCTTGAGAATTTTTCCTTGATATATGATCATCAGCTGATCCGCAGGGTACACATTCTGCCCCTGAGCACTCTCGATGATTCTCTTGACCTCACCCACCTGCGAAACAAACAGATTAGTACTAGTGAAGCACAACATCAAGCATTTGCAGGCCCAAACAATTTGGCTACAACAGATAACAGACTTCCCCAAAAAAATCCCGCACAAGTGACTACTACCGAGCAGTACTCAACACGTTCAATGCAGAGCACCCAGCCGACGTAAAATCACAGGCATCAGCGCCCCAACAACCCCAAGTTGCGACCGATCTACACACCACGCCATCCACCCCCCACACACCAGCAGAGCCGAGCACCGACCAAACCCTAGATTCAGATTTCTTAGAAACGCGACATCGCCCGCACGGGCACCTAATCACAGTACCACGCCGCGCCCCAATAGCACCAGGACGCCCCGAATCAAGCGAATTGCCGGATAATTGCGCCGAATCGCGCGCGATTGGAGAGAGATAGAGACAAGAGGAAGGGGGGAGATGGATCGTACCGAGGACTCGGGGGTCGCCTCGATCTCGAAGCTTGTGCCCTTGAGGGTCTTCACGTTGAGCTTCATCGCGCCTTCTCTTCCACCCTCTCACTCGACTCTCGTCTCTCGCGGTTATCCCTATCTGACTCTCGCTTCGCCTCGAGGGTTTTCGCCTTGACTTCGGACTCGCGAGGGAGGGGAGGACGACGGGGGCGCACGGGGGAAGTGAGTTTATAGGGGTAGCAAAAAAATCTGGAGCCGTAACCAAAAAGATATCCGATCAGATAGAGATAGATGATGGAGGGTGCGGTGTCCGGCTGCTGTCCCTGACACGTGGGGCCTGAGCCAGATTGGCCCGGTTGCCAGTGGGAGGGCCACGGGTGTCGAATCGGGAGGCGGGACAGCGGGGTGCGAGGCGGTGGGCAGTTCGGCTGCTCCGAGGCGGTGTGTGGGCGGATCTGCGTGCGGAAGGTGCTCGCATGTACACAGAGCGGTTTGGTGTGGATTGAGCGGTGACGTGTGGGGGTCACTCGTATGTTGGGTGGGCGTACCGGATCCGGGAAGATACTTCCTTCACAGGGGGGGAGACGGGCGGATGTGGAGTGCGAAAAGGTGGTTGTTGTGCTGGGTTGGAGAACAAGAAAGAAAATGTTTTTTTATTAAAAAACGAAAAGCTATCTAACAAACGTCAGATGTTTAAGGATTCCCGGCTAACGCGCCAACTGCCATCGGATGGGGCGCACGAATCTTAAAGCAGAGAGCGTTAGCACCCACGCGAACAGGGGGCAGCTTGGCATCCTTTATCTCGGCTGACCCATTTTCCCTCTCCCACACGCCCTATCCTCTCTCTCCTTCACTCATCACTCTCCCAACCAGATCTCGGCGAGCAGCCGCGGGAAGCCATGAATCTGACCTTATCCTCAGAGTGTGTGGTGCGTTGTAGCCTCCTCCTGGCCGATGGGTGGTGCTCCAGCGGCGGCCACCCATGAATCGACAAACGAGCCGCCTCGCGTCGATGAGGGGGGGCGAGGGCTTTGCACTGGAGGGTTATGCGTCATAAACCTCCTCCTCGCCGGGAGGAGCATGAAGAGTAGAGGGGCGGAACTGCGTCGCGCGCGTGAGGTGCACCGCAGGTGAGAGCACCGCCTATCTGCATTATTGTTTTTTCTAGATCAACTATTCTTACCAAATATGTGTTTATCAGATATATAATATTATTTCTTTTACACAATCAAATTAGTGTTGGCAAAAATTCACGCGCAAACCTACAACGGTTGCAAGGTGCATGCAATTATCAAGGGATACAAAATAATGAATACTCCCTTTGTAAAGAAATATAAGATCGTTTATATCAAGCAACGAACATTTTCTCAAAAGAAAATAAGTATTGCTTTAACATCTAGACAAAATTGACGACTTGGGTAACATTGTAATGGGCCAAAATTGGCTGCCAAAATGGACTGAATTGAGTTGGCCACAAATACTTATTGGGTTAAAATGTTTTTGGTAAAGACGGTGGTTCCAAAAGCTTCCCACATGCGGTAAATAGGAGTGGCTTCGCCTGCAGCCGGCCCAGTTCGCGGTAGCGAGTTGTGTGTCGTTCATTGCTTCATTTTGTTGGCTTTTCTGTTGCTTTATGTTTTTTCTGGTTCTTTTAAGGCTTTTCTTCAGCTTTTTTGGTTTCTGGTTTTTCTTTTTTTCTTGTCTCTTTTGTCCTTTCTTTCTTTTATTAATACATGGTGACCAAATTTTACTGCACGGTGAAAACAATTCGTCAATACATGGTGAATATTTTACAAATACACACTAAATGTTTTTATTATATATGATGAAAATTATTTCAAATACACAATGAACATTGTTTCAATGATACCATCAACAATACTTTAGTACAGAGAACATTTTGGTACTATAAGTTACACATCTTGTAGATAAACATTGAACAATTTTGTAATCTAGGTTGAGAATTTTCTTAATATAAGATGAATAATTTATAATGCATGGTGATTTTTTTATATACGGTGAACATTTTCTTAATATACGATGAACATATTTATAATACGTGGCAAACTTTTTGTAATGGACACATGACAAAATTTAAATACACACTTGATTTTTGGTAAACATACACTGAACATTTTTTAATGAATGATGAACTTTTAAATATACACCTCTGTCCCAAAATATAAGACATTATTACATTCAATATGCTCACATATTGGATGTAATAACTGAAGGAAATATGCCCTAGAGGCAATAATAAAGTTATTATTTATTTCCTTATATCATGATAAATGTTTATTATTCATGCTAGAATTGTATTAACCGGAAACATAATACATGTGTGAATACATAGACAAACAGAGTGTCACTAATATGCCTCTACTTGACTAGCTCGTTGATCAAAGATGGTTATGTTTCCTAATCATAGACATGAGTTGTCATTTGATTAACGGGATCACATCATTAGGAGAATGATGTGATTGACTTGACCCATTCCGTTAGCTTAGCACTTGATCGTTTAGTTTTGTTGTTATTGCTTTCTTCATAACTTATACATGTTTCTATGACTATGAGATTATGCAACTCCCGTTTACCGGAGAAACACTTTGTGTGCTACCAAACGTCACAACGTAACTGAGTGATTATAAAGGTGCTCTACAGGTGTCTCCGAAGGTACTTGTTGGGTTGGCGTATTTCGAGATTAGAATTTGTCACTCCGATTGTCGGAGAGGTATCTCTGAGCTCTCTCGGTAATACACATCACTCAAGCCTTGCAAGCATTGCAACTAATAAGTTAGTTGCGGGATGATGTATTACAGAACGAGTAAAGAGACTTGCCGATAACGAGATTGAACTAGGTATTGAGATACCGACGATCGAATCTCAGGCAAGTAACATACCGATGACAAAGGGAACAACGTATGTTGTTATGCGGTCTGACCGATATGATCTTCGTAGAATATGTAGGAACCAATATGAGCATCCAGGTTCCGCTATTGGTTATTGACCGGAGACATGTCTCGGTCATGTCTACATAGTTCTCGAACCCGTAGGGTCCGCACGCTTAAAGTTCGGTGACAGTCGTAATTAGGGTTTTTGTGTTTTGATGTACCGAAGGTTGTTCGGAGTCCCGGATGTGATCACGGACATTACGAGGAGTCTCAAAATGGTCGAGACATAAAGATTGATATATTGGAAGCATATATTTGGATATCGGAATCGTTCCGGGTGAAATCAGGATTTTACCGGAGTACCGGGGGTTACCGGACCCCCCCCCCCGAGGGGGGGGGGGTTAATGGGCCTACATGGTCCCTAAGGGAGAAGAGGAGGGACGGCCAGGGCAGGCCGCGTGCCCCCTCCCCCCTAGTCTGAATAGGACAAGGAAGGGGGGCGGCGCCCCCCTTTCCTCTTTCCCCCTTCCCCTTTCCTTCTCCAACAAGCCAAGAGGGGGGATTCCTACTCCCGGTGGGAGTAGGACTCCTCCAGGCGCACCGTGACGCCCCCGATTCAATCGTACACTAATCATACACGCAAACGTATACAATCAAGATAAGGGACTCGCGGGAAGATATCACAACACAACTCTACAAATAAAATAAGTCATACAAGCATCATATTACAAGCCAGGGGCCTCGAGGGCTCGAATACAAGAGCTCGATCATAGACGAGTCAGCGGAAGCAACAATATCTAAGTACATACATAAGTTAAACAAGTTTGCCTTAAGAAGGCTAGCACAAACTGGGATACAGATCGAAAGAGGCGCATGCCTCCTGCCTGGGATCCTCGTAAACTACTCCTGGTCGTCGTCAGTGGGCTGCACATAGTAGTAGGCACCTCCGGTGTAGTAGGAGTCATCGTCAACGGTGGCGTCTGGATCCTGGGCTCCAACATCTGGTTGTGACCACCAGGTAGAAGGGATATGGGAAAAGAAGGAGAAAGCAACCGTGAGTACTCATCCAAAGTACTCGCAAGCAAGGAACTACACTACATATGCATGGATATATGTGTAAGGGGGCCATATCAGTGGACTGAACTATAGAATGCCAGAATAAGAGGGGGATAGCTAATCCTGTCGAAGACTACGCTTCTGGCAGCCTCCGTCTTGCAGCATGAAGAAGAGAGTAGACTAAAGTCCTCCAAGTAGCATCAAGTAGCATCGTATAGCATAATCCTAACCGATGATCCTCCCCTCGTCACCCTGTGAGAGAGCGATCACCGGTTGTATCTGGCACTTGGAAGCGTGTGTTTTATTAAGTATCTGGTTCTAGTTGTCATAAGGTCAAGGTACAACTCCAAGTCGTCCTGTTACCGAAGATCACGGCTATTCGAATAGATTAACTTCCTTGCAGGGGTGCACCACATAACCCAACACGCTCGATCCCATTTGGCCGGACACACTTTCCTGGGTCATGCCCGGCCTCGGAAGATCAACACGTCGCAGCCCTACCTAGGCACAACAGAGAGGGTAGCACGCCGGTCTAAATCCTATGGCGCAGGGGTATGGGCCCATCACCCATTGCACACCTGCATGTTGCGTACGCGGCCGGAAGCATAACTAGCCCCCTTAATACAAGAGCAGGCTTACGGTCCTATCCGGCGCGCGCCACTCAGTCGCTGACGTCACGAAGGCTTCGGCTGATACCACGACGTCGAGTGCCCATAACTGTCCCCGCGTAGATGGTTAGTGTGTATAGGCCAGTAGCCAGACTCAGATCAAATACCAAGATCTCGTTAAACGTGTTAAGTATCCGCGAACACCGACCAGGGCCAGGCCCACCTCTCTCCTAGGTGGTCTCAACCTGCCCCGTCGCTCCGCCACAAAGTAACAGTCGGGGGCCGTCGGGAACCCAGGCCCACCTCTACCGGGATGGAGCCACCTGCCCCTTCAGCCCCCAACTCCGAACAGTACCACAGGTAATGTAAATGTGTAAAGTATATAGTATAAGCCCGTGATCACCTCCCGAAGTGATCACGGCCCAGTAGTATAGCATGGCAGACGGACAAGAGTGTAGGGCCACTGATGAAACACTAGCATCCTATACTAAGCAGTAGGATAGCAGGTAATGGTAACAACAGTAGCAGC